ATAAAAAATAAATTTTTGGGACCAAGAAAATTATTTTTATTTGTCTTTTTTTCAATTTTTCACTTAAAATGTAAGTTTCCCAGGAGACGTAATTTGAAATGAGTTCTTTGGCTTGCTGATTATTTGCCTGCTCGATTTCATCTCTTGAGACGAATCACTTTTGATATTTGCAAGAGTTTTTAATGAAAAATAAATTTCTGGGACCAAAAAAATTATTTTTATTTGTCTTTTTTTTCAATTTTTCACTTAAAATGGAAGTTTCCCAGGAGACGTAATTTGAAATGAGTTCTTTGGCTTGCTGATTATTTGCCTGCTCGATTTCATCTATCAAGACGAGTCACTTTTGATATTTGCAAGAGTTTTTAATAAAAAATAAATTTTTGGGACCAAGAAAATTATTTTTATTTGTCTTTTTTTCAATTTTTCACTTAAAATGTAAGTTTCCCAGGAGACGTAATTTGAAATGAGTTCTTTGGCTTGCTGATTATTTGCCTGCTCGATTTCATCTATCAAGACGAGTCACTTTTGAGATTTGCAAAAGTTTTTAATAAAAAATAAATTTTTGGGACCAAAAAAATGATTTTTATTTGTCTTTTTTTCAATATTTCGCTATAAATGTAAGTGTCCCTGGAGACGAATGTTCAAATGAGTTCTTTGGCTTGCTGATTATTTGCGTGCTCGATTTCATCTCTCAAAACGAATCACGTTTAACATTTGCAAGAGTTTTTAATAAAAAATAAATTTTTGGGACCAAGAAAATGATTTTTAAATGTCTTTTTTATCAATTTTTCGCTATAAATCTAAGTGTCCCTGGAGACGAAAGTTCAAATGAGTTCTGTGGCTTGCTGATTATTTGCCTGCTCGATTTCATCTATCAAGACGAGTCACTTTTGATATTTGCAAGAGTTTTTAATGAAAAATAAATTTTTGGGACCAAAAAAATGATTTTTATTTGTCTTTTTTTCAATTTTTCACTTAAAATGTAAGTTTCCCAGGAGACGTAATTTGAAATGAGTTCTTTGGCTTGCTGATTATTTGCCTGCTCGATTTCATCTATCAAGACGAGTCACTTTTGAGATTTGCAAAAGTTTTTAATAAATAATAAATTTTTGGGACCAAGAAAATAATTTTTAAATGTCATTTTTATCAATTTTTCGCTATAAATCTAAGTGTCCCTGGAGACGAAAGTTCAAATGAGTTCTTTGGCTTGCTGATTATTTGCGTGCTCGATTTCATCTCTCAAAACGAATCACGTTTAACATTTGCAAGAGTTTTTAATAAATAATAAATTTTTGGGACCAAGAAAATGATTTTTAAATGTCTTTTTTATCAATTTTTCGCTATAAATCTAAGTGTCCCTGGAGACGAAAGTTCAAATGAGTTCTGTGGCTTGCTGATTATTTGCCTGCTCGATTTCATCTATCAAGACGAGTCACTTTTGATATTTGCAAGAGTTTTTAATGAAAAATAAATTTTTGGGACCAAAAAAATGATTTTTATTTGTCTTTTTTTCAATTTTTCACTTAAAATGTAAGTTTCCCAGGAGACGTAATTTGAAATGAGTTCTGTGGCTTGCTGATTATTTGCCTGCTCGATTTCATCTATCAAGACGAGTCACTTTTGATATTTTCAAGAGTTTTTAATGAAAAATAAATTTTTGGGACCAAAAAAATGATTTTTATTTGTTTTTTTTTTCAATTTTTCACTTAAAATGTAAGTTTCCCAGGAGACGAAAGTTCAAATGAGTTCTTTGGCTTGCTGATTATTTGCCTGCTCGATTTCATCTCTCAAGACGAATTACTTTTAACATTTGCAAGAGTTTTTAATGAAAAATAAATTTTTGGGTCCAAGAAATTGATTTTTATTTGTCTTTTTTTCAATTTTTCGCTATAAATCTAAGTGTCCCTGGAGACGAAAGTTCAAATGAGTTCTTTGGCTTGCTGATTATTTGCCTGCTCGATTTCATCTCTTGAGACGAATCACTTTTGATATTTGCAAGAGTTTTTAATGAAAAATAAATTTCTGGGACCAAAAAAATTATTTTTATTTGTCTTTTTTTTCAATTTTTCACTTAAAATGTAAGTTTCCCAGGAGTCGTAATTTGAAATGAGTTCTTTGGCTTGCTGATTATTTGCCTGCTCGATTTCATCTATCAAGACGAATCACTTTTGATATTTGTAAGATTTTTTAATAAAAAATAAATTTTTGGGACCAAAAAAATGATTTTTATTTGTCTTTTTTTTCAATTTTTTACTTAAAATGTAAGTTTTCCAGGAGACGTAATTTGAAATGAGTTCTTTGGCTTGCTGATTATTTGCCTGCTCGATTTCATCTATCAAGACGAGTCACTTTTGAGATTTGCAAAAGTTTTTAATAAATATTAAATTTTTTGGACCAAGAAAATGATGTTTATTTGTCTTTTTTTCAATTTTTCGCTATAAATCTAAGTTTCTCTGAAGACGTAAGTTAAAATGAGTTCTTTGGCATGCTGATTAATTCCTTGTTTAAATAAATAGGGGAAGGTAGAAAATTCAAGAATAACCTAAAACTATGAAATTGATAATTTTTATTATTTTTTAAATATCAAAGATCTCTTGAACGGGGCTAGTTGAAATCCTGCGCATAATTTGCGCCAATGTTGCGATTATAAGGTTCCGGAACAAGAAAATTTTTTTTACTTATACATGTTACTTCAAACGACAAATGAAGAAGTTTCCAACAGTTTTTGGGTGGGACAACATAACAGGGCGCTAGATAGGCAAATTCAAAGACTGTTATTTTAAACAAAACTAACTCAGGAACATGAAAAATGTTAAAACTCCAGTATGTTAATTAAAATAAAAACAAATTCTTATTCCAATAGTTTTTAGACGGGACAACATAACAGGGCGCTAGATAGGCAAACTCAAAGACTGTTATTTTGAATAAAACAAACTCCGGAACATGAAAAACTTTAATACTCCAGTATGTAAATTCAATTAAAAATTAATTCTAATTACAATAGTTTTTAGACGGGACAACATAACAGGGCGCTAGATAGGCATATTAAAAGACTGTTACTTTGAATAAATCTAACTCCGGAACATGAAAAATTTTAAGACTCCAGTATGTTAATTAAAATAAAAACTAATTCTTATTACAATAGTTTTTAGACAGGACAACATAACAAGGTGCTAGACAGGCGAAGTCAAAACTGTTATTTTAAGTAAAACAAACACCGAAACATCTAAAAACTATTGGAATAAGAATTAGTTTTTATTTTAATTAACATATTGGAGTTTTAACATTTTACATGTTCCAGGGTTAGTTTTATACATCATAATATACGTTCAAAATGACTATCTAGCGCCCGGTTATGTTGTACCGAATAAAAATTATTTCAATTAGAATTAGTTTTTATTTTAACCCCTTAACTGTTTGAGGAAAATACAACATGATTGTCCCAACATGCCCAGCGGAATCTGATACTTTTTCAAATAGTATAATATATTTAAATTTTAACTAATTATTCAATTATTTTCTAAAATATCATTAATGGCCCTTATAATTTCTTATAATATTGATATAAAGAAAAATATCTATCAATTTATATACAAATTATATTTATTTTGAGTGATAGTTAACACGACCCACGGGTGGGTCGGAAACAGTTATAGCCATACTTTTTCACGACCCACCCGTGGGTCGGAAACAGGCAACGGGTTAATCAACATACTGGAGTTTTAACATTTTTCATGTTCTGGAGTTTGTTTTATTTAAAATATCAGGCTTTGAGTTTGCCTATCTAGCGCCCTGTTATGTTGTCCCGTCTAAAAACTATTGCAAGTAGAATTAATTTTTAATTTAATTAACATATTGGAGTTTTAACATTTATCATGATCCGGAGTTGGTTTTATTGAAAATAACAATCTTTGAGTTTGCCTATCTAGCGCCCTGTTATGTTGTCCCGTCTAAATACTATTGGAATAAGAATTAGTTTTTATTTTAATTAACGTACTGGAGTTTTAACAATTTTCATGTTCCGGAGTTTGTTTTATTCAAAATAACAGTCTTTGAGTTTGCCTATCTAGCGCCCTGTTATGTTGTCCCGTCTAAAAACTATTGGAATAAGAATTTGTTTTTATTTTAATTAACATACTGGAGTTTTAACATTTTTCATGTTCCTGAGTTAGTTTTGTTTAAAATAACAGTCTTTGAATTTGCCTATCTAGCGCCCTGTTATGTTGTCCCACCCAAAAACTGTTGGAAACTTCTTCATTTGTCGTTTAAAGTAACATGTATAAGTAAAAAAAATTTTCTTGTTCCGGAACCTGATAATCGCAACATTGGCGCAAATTATGCGCAAGATTTCAACTAGCCAAAAAAATTTAGATTTGAGTAATTTGAAAGAAGAAAATTTCGTTGTATTTTTAATCTTTAAAAATAATTAATTTAAAAGTATCAAATCAAATAATAATTGAATACATGCACAATTTTTTTAATTTAAATAAATAAATTATAATAAGTGAAAAATGTTTTGCTTGAAGAATATTGAATGTTCTTTGATGTATATGAGAGTGATTTAAAAAAATATCTTTAAAGAATATTAAATAAATAATTATTGTAATTACTTTATTTAATTTATTATTATTTATTTAATTTTTTATCTTTTATTTGATTTATTTAATTATTTAAATAATTAATAAAAATTATTCTGCACTTTATTCCTAATAAAAATATTTTAATGAAAGTAAAATTTTAACTAATCTTGAGTTTCTTGTTCACATGTATTTTTCGGCATATTAATAAAATATAAAACGCATATTAATAAAGAGATGTATAATTTAAAAATTAATTAACAATTATAAATTAAAAAAGAATAGACTTTAAAGCTTTTTTCACAATTCCACTGAAATTACAATTTAACCATCTTTTGTTTTTCTGTGAAAAAAAATTCCGTGAATTGACACCTTACGTTTTAACCTCTTGATATTGCTCTTTTTTTCATTTTAATCTTTAAAATGCCGTGGGTTTGTGTTAAATATACGAGACAGTGTTCAACTCACTGCATTAAAAGAGCATATGTTATACCGTCATCTTATTTGGAAGTGAAAAAAGATCATTACAATTCGAAAAAGGAGTACAAAGTGAGATGCGTTAAAGATGAAAAAAAGTGGTGCTATGCAATCATTGGACGCATAGACCCAGGGAGTAATAATTTTTGCTTTTAAATGAGTTACTTGACTATTTTCAAATAGCTATTTATTTCTAATTCTTATTTGAATCATTTTATGTACTGATTTATTATTTATATTAATCAAATAACGGATTATTTGAATCAAATCGAAACTTTTTCTAGTATTTTAGCTTACAATAGATATTGAATTTAAATAATTTATGTTTTTTAGATTTCTAAAACTTAAAATTTGAAACTTACATTTAAGAGCTTATTTATTAAAATCTTTTAATTTTATTTTTTTCATTGGTTGTTTTCTAATGTTATTTTATACAAATGTAATCAAACAATTTTGTCAAAGTTTAATATTTGAAATGGTGTAAGTATAAATAATTATTATACATTTATAGGTGATTTAAAAGCAAAAAACCGACTGATGAATAAAAGGATATCTTTTCCGCCTGTGAGTGACGTCAAGAAATATAATAGCGACAACAGCTCATCAGAGGAGGAAATTGATACTGATGATGTTAGTATTCAATGATTATTTTATCGATTTTCGTACCTAAAATTTTTCATTTTTAGGAATAAAGAAAAGGCTAGGAAAGTTTAGGAATAAAAAAAAATTTTTTTAAATGAATTACCGGGTTTCTTATCTAAAAGTTATGTGGGATCTCACTTATTTTCCCTGCGGGAGTTTATCACAATTAATAATCTGAAAATTTGTATATTCCAAATTCTGGGTTGCCACAGGTTAGGGAAATCAGGGAATTCAGGGAAAGTAAAACTGTTCAGGGAAAAGTAAATAATTTTCATTAAAAATACTGGAAAAAATTAAATTTTTAGAATTCATAAGAAAATTTTTGAATTTATTATGTCTTTTCTGTTTGTCTGATTACTTATGAAACTACCACGAATTCTAGTACAAAACCTTCAAAATTTTTTTCTATTTCTGACAAGAATGAATTTTTTAATATTATTCAATTATTACAAGTATTAACGCAATTATCTTGATAAATAACAAAATTCTTCACAGAAATTAAATTATTTTTAAGAATTTCCATATAACTCTTTGTAAAATTCAATTATTTTCACCGCAGAATTTCAAATATTTTTAATACAATTTTAAGTAAATTCCTCTAAAAATGCAATTATTCTTAAAAATTTTATGAAAACTTGACAAAAGAATTCAATTTTAAGAAACATTCAATTATTCAATAAAATTCGCTGCAATAATTCAATTATTTTCAAAAAATTGTTATAAAATTCTTTAATATATAATTTAAGTAAAAGTTTAATTACATTTCTTAAATTTAGTTATTTTCAAATGTTGTTAATAAATTTTTCCATAAAAATTCAATTTTAAAAAACATTCAATTATTGAATAAATTATTTATTTTTCCATTTAAATAAATGAATTCTCGTAGAATTTTCTGTTAAAAATTGTTTTGAAAATTAATTCCAATTAAAATTTTGGATAATAATTTAATATTTAAGGCATTAGTGATTGTATTTTTAAAAATTATTGTGAAGAAGTTAAAATAAATCCTAATTTTTATGGAAAAATAATAGTGATTAAATATTTATTTAAAAAAGAATTTATTGTTATCTTCGCATAATTTTACAATTAAAGAAATTCGCGTAAATAAATGAATTACAATATTTTTCTCAGTGTCTAATAATTTTTCGAGAGAATCACAGAATATTCTTTACGGTCAGGGAAAAAGTTAAAATTTTGTCTGGAAATCAGGGAAAAGTCAGGAAAAACAAAGTTAAAATTTTGTGGCAACCCTGGAATTTGTATATATTCTGAGTTTTGAATGGCAACGATAAGAGGGGGAAATGATAATAAGAAATACATTTTAATTATAAAATAATTGTTTTGGTACATACTAAAAACAAGTCTTACTTGCAGCCTATTTACGAGGTTAAAAAAGAAAAACAGGATCAACGCCTTCTGAAGATGAAAAATTCATTCCATCAACTGCAGCCGAAGAAAAAATATAAAAAGAAAACTGATGACGAAAATGATTTAGATTACGAAGAATCAACAATTTAAATATTTTTTAATTTTCACGTTATTTAGTAATAGAAGATAAATTTACTGCTGTCTATTATTAAAATTTTACAATGATTAATATTTTGACATTTTACTATTTAAAAATGAACCATTTCCTACAATACTAGTTGTATATTGCTCGTTAACTCAGTTTTCATGGAGTTGGTTTTGAAATCGAGGAAGTTTCGCTATCAGATGATTTCATCAAACTTTACGATCATTCAGTCAGATTTCAACAAATATCAATAAAAAAATAATAATTAATTGCAAAAGATATTAAATACTGATAACAATTCATTGATAGTTTCACTTTACACATTTTTTTATACACTTAACACTATTTTTATTATAAATACATTTGAAAAATCCTAACGCTTGGGGGTACGAACCTATGCCTAACCGAATATTTACGCACTGAAATCACGCACGCCAACCACTATGCTACGCTCGCATGGAACTCTCAAATCTTAAATGCTTTCAAGTCTCACTAGCTGAAATAAAAATTGTAAAATTACTACGCGGCAATGGTCAATTTCGAAATACGAACTGATGTAATACCGGTATATTTTCAATACTTTACTGAATGTGTATTTATGAATATTTCAATATTTTGTTTAAAAAAACTTGTTATATTTTTATTATTATATTTTTTAATATTTTATTACATATATTACTATAGGTCACCATAATTATGTAAAAGTTGAGTATGGTGGACAGGGCCATTTTTTGGAATTTTTTCGAAAAAATTGAATCTCTTTACCTTCTACTTGGCAAACATGATAATCATGATTATCATGTTCGCTATAATTAATTACTATATTTATTTCTTAATATTTAAACTTTTCTACATTGCGTTAATTTCAAAATAGAGATTTTCTCTAAACGTCATTAACTTTTTGTCATATTCTTTGTCCCATTCCTCCTTAATTAGCTTTAAAAAATTTAAATATTTTATCAAAAAACATTATTTGAAAAATTTTAACACGTGAAAAAATATACCTGATAGATCATTTTCAATCTGAGGCGCATGTCGTCCTCTTAAAAATTTTTGAAAATCTTTTATATATTTTTCCTTATAAAAACCATAAGTCTCAAATATTAGTTTTTTTTAACATAGTTTTGCTACAAAACCCCTTATTTAATAGATTGTTTTTTTCTCCTTCCTTTATGATAGCAATTAATAAATAAATTAATTAATAATTAATTACAGGTGTTGAGTGGAACCGATTATTATACCCAATTAAATTCTATAAAAAATTCAACACAGTAAACTTTCTACGTTAAAACTCGCATTATATTTAGACAATGTATAATAATTTTACAAAAATTAATTTTGCGCTATAAAATTGTACTCATTAGAATTAAATAAAATATAATTCACTTAAATTCTGCTGAATTATATTTTTCCAAACTTAGAATTTGATCAGATTACTTTCCTTTTAAATAAAAAGAATGATAAAATACAGGAATTTCCATATTTTCTGTTCGAAGTAGTTGTAAAATATTTTCAGTAAAGAAATCTTTTTGAAAAAGTACTTAGCCTTAAAAAATTTAATAAATTCCAAAATAGCTGATCAAAGAATTGTTTTAATAATTGATTTACTTTTTTCCTGAGAAAAGTCAACTTGAAAAAACAGGAATTTCCGCATTTTCAGCTCGGAGTAGTCGTAAAATACTTTCAGTAGATAAATAAATGAGTAATTGAAATAAGGACAATTTCATTCAAGGCATAATCATTTAAATTTTTATATCTCAATTTTTTTATTGTATTTTTAATTTATTTGGACTTTTTAACCAGGACAAAAAATTCAAAAAATAAGTCCAAAGTAGTAATTTCCTATTTAAAAAATGTTATAAGAGGAGTGCTAATAGATTTGCAGTTAAGTTCACAATATTTTAACGACATCCACTATTGAATTTTCATAATCCGTCAAGAACTATTCATTTTTATTTATTTATCACATTTATATGTCGTTAATAATTAATAAAAAAATTAAACAACAATAAATTATAACATTAAAATGCACGCATTATTATAACGGTAAAACATTTAAGCACAGTAATAATAATACCATAAAGATTTTTTTCAGTACTTTAACTATTAATTTCGAGATTAATTATTTTATTCCAGAATCTTCTAAAATTTCGTCCAATCTGTCCTCTTCATCCATTGAAGAGTGCAATACCAAAGTAATTTCAAAACTTAATTAATTTTATTTTATATTCTTCCTAATTTTTTTGTCTCGTAATATTGATTAACGGTGTAATTTTCAAAATAAATTTTACTTCTTGGATTTCTTTGGATTCCTAATTGTTCGGCATTGATCATTTATGACTGTAATATATTCTTTATAACTCAGACCATCTGAATTATGTTTAATGAAATCTAAACCATAAAATACAAAGTAAATGAGAAATTTTGCTGTAAAGTTAAAGCTAAAATATGTGTTAGTTTCATAAACACTTTACTTCCTCGTGAAAATTTTTATTTTATGAATATTATGAATTGTTTTTTTCTATGCATTAAGGCATTTCAGCATAAAAAAACTAAACTGAAAAAAATGTATTTGATTCAAACAATCGATTATTTAACTATTATCAATTTAATATTTACATAAATGAAATATTATTTATTGGAGTCAATTAAATGGTACCTATTTAAATCAATAACTTCAGTATTTGAAGAAAATACAATTGAATTGAATTTAAAAAATATTATTTTATTGAATTAAATATTTAATTAATAATAGTTAGGGAACGTTCATAAACTACGTAGCACGTCTAGGGGGAGGGGGGTCAAGAAATTGTCTACCGTAAGAGGAAAAAATGGCGCTAATACATGTAAATGCGCCTACATGGGGGAGGGGGGGGGTTAACATTTTCAAAAAATTGGTCTACGTAATTTATGAATGTTCCCTTAAGTAATCGGTTATTTGAATCAAATAAATTTTGTTTTCAGTGTATAGTTATCATAATATGAAGCTTGCCGTGCAAACTTGCTGCAAGCTTGACACGTAAGCTTGTTACAATATTAACTGAATACTTACTTTGCATACGTATTTAAGTAAAAGTGATGTGTAAATTAGATAATTTCATACGAAAACCCCGCAATGTACTGCTCCGCGTAGCAGGGTGCGCGGGGGTTATGATAAATTAATTAGCAATTATTATCATAATTTTATTATTATTATAATTATTTGTTATTGTCAATGTATTCATATATTTAAAAAATTAAAATATCAATATAAATATATACCATAAACAGCAATTCTTATGTTTACTGGTATCCCTTTCAAATTATTGCCACCATTTTTAAGTCCCAATGCTGTCAATTTCATCAATTCTTCACGCCCAATTAAATTTAACAAAAGTGTCCTAACCATTTCTCTTGGCCGGTTTTTTAAGTCAAGAAATTCGAATCTTCTTAATGGATTAATAACAATCTTTCCGTTTACCAACATAACTTTAAAATTATATTAATTTTT